GCTAATCAACTGCGATATATCAATACCGTCAAGCAGCGAGTCTAAATTTAGGGGTCCTTCGTCCTCCTCCTCCACCTCTTCCTTCGCCGTCTCTATGGGGAGCAAGTGTGCATCTCCAACAAACGGCCACTCGGTCTGCTTTACACTGTCTGTCCAAAACGCGGGTTTTAAATCTCTTCCTTCTTCCTCCTGCTCCTCTTCTTCGCCGTTATTATCCTTCAACATCTCAGTCTTTGGTGGTCGTAGAACAAATTCTTCCTGACTACTCATGACTGCTGGCATTGCAGATGTCTCTATGCGGGTTGCCTCCTTCTCCTCCTCTAGGGGAATGGTCATGGAGAACTCCTCGACGTTGGAGCCACGAACGACCAAAACGGGCACCATTGTTTCACGGCGGGACGCAGGTGAAGGCTGCCAGGCCTTTGAAAGACATTCAGAACGTGGCAGGGGATAACAGGACGCGGATCGTAGTGGGGGCCGCTGGTACATCGTACTCGGCGCCCCGTTTCCGGCAGACATGAATCGTTGACGTGGTGGCGGTTGGGGCGAGGTACAAAATTCGTCGAATCCACAATCTCCACAATCAGAAGTCGGAGGTCGTTTAGGGGCAGTAGAATAACAAGATCGAATGACCGGATGCTTCTTAGGTGAGGCAGCAACCGGAGGAGGGTCGGATAAATAAGGCGATGGGCTGAGTTCGCCGGAGGATACGTAGGCGGAGTCAGGCAGGGTTGAAGTGGCCTTCTTAATGGTTAGTGGAGGAAGGTTAATCCTGGTAGGCTTATCGAGGCCTCCTGAGCCTGAGAGCGATCGGACAACAGTTGCCGAGATGACCGTCTGGACACGTTTGTTCGGCTGATACTTGTAGTTTGGAAATTCAAGTTGGTGGAGCCTGCTGAGTCGAGCTGATTCCTCGTCAAATTGGGTCTTCAATGTCTGCGGCAGCGTACTCCAAAGCTCACCAAGGTGACGACTCAGGTCGACGTTGGAGACGCCATCGAAGGTCTGCAGGATGTTCCGACGAATGTGTTGGGCGAACAACTGTAAACCAGGGAAATTTAGTTTGAGGCACTCGGGAAACTTTTAAGTGTAAATATTGTTTCACTTAACAGTATGCAACGAGAAACCAGCCGTATAAGTGTGGGGTTGCGTACGATCTATTTTGGTTGACGTAAAAAATATAAGGCTGAGCGTTCACTCATAGCAGTAAATTAATGTGGCCGCCTAATCTGGACACGGGGAAACAGGAACCACTCACTAGGCATGTGACTTTGCTCCAAATTTCGGTGAAAACAAAGTTTCGGACTAAGATGAGGGCTGGATTAAATTGTTGGAAGATTGAGGTTAAGGTCAGATATGAGGTTAGGTTCAGGTAAGGATTATGGTTAAGGCTTGCGTTTATGTTACCTGCAGGGTTTAGGCTTAGCATAGAGCTATGATTAAGAGTAAGGATACTGTTTAGCTTCATGTCAGGATTAAGAAACCTCCGTAAAATCCGTAAACGTTTATATTATATTCGCTACTTGCGTTCATATCGCACACCGCAAGCCCTAATCTGGCAATTTATAGATGCCTGTATTCTCCTATTATTTTTACTGCTCTTCAGTTACTCTTCCAGCCTTACTTGAAATGACCTGGTCATCCTTAAACGTATTCTCCGAATGCTCTCTTCAGCTGCCGGTGTTTCCTATTTTTTTCAGCTGACATTATAGTACAGCCCCATTTTAAAACGGTCAATCAATTTGCTGATCGCATCCTTAGTGAGGTTGCTCACCCTCTCCACTCTGAACTAATGGATGCGAAGTCTTTCCGTACAACCCGCTTCCGTCATATGTCTTGCCCTACATCGGCACTTCAGCACTCTGCACTCCCATTCCTAGCACGCTACCTCACGTGTGAAGAAGCG